GGCGCTTGTATCGCTGAGTTAAATCCCCAGCCCTGGATTAATTATTTTAATTTTTTAAAAAATGATAAAATGCATTCAAAGTTTGTTGAAGAACACTTGGATTCATGAATATAATCCTTTCCATGATTCTGGGGGAGAAGGCCGTGCTCATGATCACGTGGGGTAGATGGCTGTGGCCGTGCTATTCATTTGATGCAGAACTCATGAGCAGAAGCAAAATTTTGGTGAGTGCTTCTGTTGATGAACTGAATTGTCTGCAAACAGAAGCATTTTTGAACTAAGGAATTACTGTATATTCAGTGGTTCTGTGAAAACACTACTTCAGACAATCTTGTAAAATTTGGTGGCTACTTAGTGCTAAAGAGAAACACCTAGTTTTACCTGATCAAGAGTATAAATGTTTGACCAAATGGTTTTAGTTTTCATACTTTGTGAGTGATTTGTAAATTAATCAAATAAAAAGAGCAGAATTTTCCAAATTAATTTCACAGAGAAATCATTCTGGGTAATTACTAGCAAAAAGATATCAGTGGTAAGGTGAATTTGGGGTGTGATAAATTGTATAAAGTCAGTTTTGACTCTTGAAGTGTAAAATATACTATATTTCAAAAATTAATTTGATTAAAGTCTCCCTGTGAATCTTCCATAAAAGGCTGGAATTGAACAGAAACGCTATGTTATGCTTTTAAAATATTATAACTAGGAGCCACTGAGTTGTTTTTTGAAATTTGTCCTTATATATTTTCTAAATGATATCTACTTCTCAGATTTGCTTTAAGTTTCAATAGGGTGATATTTGCAGATATTTTTAAAATATCTACAAATGCTGCCTAATCTTTTCCCTTAATTAAAAAATAATAAAAAAAATTTTAAAAAAGGAGGAGATTGAGATAAAAAAGGACATAACAATGTAACAATACAGGTCAGAACAGAACAATTTAAGCAACATATTGTTTCACCACAAAATAACCCTACTTAATAGTAGTTACCATAGTGTCTCTTTCCTTGAAATATTTGAGTATAACTTCGTATAGTATAGCATCAAACATATCAAGACAGTGTGGAACCATTCAAGAGGATGAAAGTATTACAAGGTATTTAAAACCAGCTAACAGAAAATGAACAATGGTTTCTATATTATCTCTTTGCCTATAAAAATTTTGTTTCTACTATCACATATAATAAAATCCAATAAGATACAACATGATAAAACCAATGGAGGCAGAAGAATGACAGTTTGATGGGACTTCAAAACAAGATGGTATTAAAGCAGCACTAACAACTATTATGATGTCTTGTTTTCTTCAAATAGCTGTTCATATCATTACAGACAATAAAATCAAACAGCCCAGAATAAAATCATTTCAATTAATGAATGAAAACTTTATAAGGCTTCAAAGCCACATAATGGGGAATCATGATTACAATATACTTTTATGTATTTATATCATTTCTTACACTAGGCAAACTATTTAGTATTCATACATGTGAAATAAGTGATTTGATACTATCAAACAGCACAGAATAGAGTAAAATCAGTCAAAACAAGATGGTGAGAGCAACAGGGCTTCAAATTAAGTTAACTGGAAATCAAAAGCATTACTATAATATATCCTGTTAATTTTGTAATTTTTACCTTAATTAAAAAATTTAAAAAAATAAGTATTTTTTTTAAAAAGGGGGAGATTGAGATAAAAGAGAACATAACAACATAACAATACAGGTAGAATTTAAGCAACATAGTGTTTCACCACAAGATATCCCGACTTAACAGTACTTACCATAGTGTCTCTTTCCTTGAAATATTTGAATAACACTTCATATACTATAGCATCCAACATATCAAGATACTGTGAAACCATTCAAGAGGATGAAAGTATTACAGGGTATTTAGAACCAGCTAACAAGAAAATGAACAATGGTTTCTATATTATCTCTTTGCCTTTAAAAATTTTTGTTTATACTATCACATATAATAAAATCCAGTAAGATACAACATGATAAAACAGATGGAGACAGAAGAATGAAAGCTTGATGAGACTTCAAAACAAGATGATATTAAATCAGCACTAGCTACTATGATGTCTTGTTTTCTTCAAAATAGCTGTTCAATTTATCACAGGCAATAATATCAAGCAGCCCAGAATAAAGCCATTCCAATTAATGAGTGAAAGCTTTATAAGGCTTTAAGGCCACATAATGGGGAATCATGATTACCACATACTTTTATACATTTGAATCCTTTGTTACACTAGGGAAACTATTCAGTATTCATACATGTGAGTTTGATTTATTTCACTTATGAGTATGGTCTCAAGCTGTGCCCACTTATTTATAAATATCTCAATGTGATCCTTCTTTATAGCTGAGTAGTACTCCATTGTATAAAAATACTACAACTTTTTTATCCATTCCTCAGTTGATGGACACTTACATTGTTCCAAGATCTGGCTATTACATATTGTGCTGTTATTAACATGGGTGCACATATATCACTGTGGTATGATGCTTTCAGTTCTTCTGGGAATATGCGTAGTAGTGGAATAGCTGGAACAAATGGGACTTCCAATCCCAGCTTTTTGAGAAATCTCCAGACTGACCTCCACACTGGTTGCACCAGTCTACACTCCCACCAACAGTGCAGGGGAGTGCCTTTTTCCCCACAGCCTCTCCAGATTTGTTGTTGTTGGTTTTCTTGATCCTGGCCATTCTTTCAGGAGTGAGATGGAATCTCAGTGTTGTTTTAATTTGCATTTCTCTAATGAGTAATGATGATGAACATTTTTTCTAGTACTTATTTGCAATTTGTATTTCTTCATCTGGGAACTATTTATTCATCTCAGATGCCATTTTTGGATTGGATCTTTGCATTCTGGGGGTCTGAGTTTTTTAATTCTTTATGTGTTTTAGACTGAAGTCCTTTGTCTGAGGAACAGTTCACTAAAATTTATTCCCAGTTTGTAGGTTTTCTTTTCACTATGCTGGAGATTTCTTTTAACATACAGAACCTTTTTAATAAGCGGTGATCCCAGTTATTGATTCTGGGAAGTATTTCCTGTGTGGTTTGATTCTTGTTCAGGAATTCTCTACCTACCCCTATGTCTTCAAGGTTTTTACCCAATTTGTCTTCCAATAGATTTAGTGTTTCTGTTTTAGTACTCAGATCTTTGATCCATTTAGATTTTAATTTAGTACATGGTGATAGGCATGGGTCTAGTTTTAGTTTTCGGCAAATGGAGAGCCAGTTTATCCAACACCATTTATTAAAGAGACTGTTGTTCTCTGTGAACATGTTTGGCCCCTTTATCAAAGATAAGGTGATTAGTGGGTTTGTAGTTGTGGTTGTATCTTCTAATGTATTCCATTGTTCTTCAGCTCTATTTTGATCCCAATACCATGTTGATTTTACCACGGTTGCTTTGTAGTATAACTTCAAGTCAGGGATTGTGATGCCTCCTACCTTACCTTTGCTGCTTAGAACTGTCTTTGCTATTTTAGGTCTCTTCTCACTCCAGATGAATTTTAGGAGTGACTTTTCGATATCTATGGTATGATTGATGGTATTTTTATTGGAATTGCTTTGAATCTGTATTTAGCAGGATATATTATAGTAACTTTTTGATTTCCTATTAACTTGATTTGAAACCCTGTATAGCTCTCACAATCTTGTTTTGACTGATTTTATTCTATTCTGTTTTGTTCAATAGTATCAAGTTTGTAGGTATAGGCAACTACTTTGAAGGCAATAAGATTCACTATGATGCCCATTCTGGTTTGACTATTATCTTCTTTTGAAGTCCTATAATGTCTCCAATGTTTAGGTTTTATTGGTTTTGTTCTGTACTGTTTTGTTCAATTTTATTATACCTGATGATATAGGCAAATCTTTTTAAGGTAGCAAGAGGCATGATGGTAACCATTGTTGATTACCTTGTGTTATTTTTTTACATTATGTACTATATCCATCATTTGTTTTGACTCTGCTTTGTTTTGTCACATTTGGTTTTATTCTCTTCCAAAAAAAGTAATAAAAACTGGGAGTAATAAAACCCAACACGTGTAATTGTTATTGCAAAAAAAGAGAGGAAAAGAAAGTTCTCTAAGGATACACCTGCAAGTGTGTTTAGGTGTGTTAAGATAGATGACCATATTACTAAGTTTTTGTTGGATCATTAAACACAACTGTTTGCAGTCTCACTGTTTGAATGTTCACTTTATATGCTTAATTTTATAGCTTGAACAATAAGATCACAATACATAATCCATTAACTAGTGATTTCTTACTGTTTATTTTTTTTTTTTTGGAAATACTGTATTACTTGTATTCTTTTACTTCTTTGGTTTTTTTTCTTTCTTTAAATAAAATTTTAAAAACAACCCCTCCCCAAATGCTGTCTAATCAATGTTGTGTGGACTTCGTTGCTTTGTGACTTCATGCATGTGAAGTGTTTCTGTATTTGAGGTTAGTTTCCCACTTCAGAGTCTTTGTGGAAAGTAGAACTGCACCTGCTGCCATAGAAACTGGGAGGGACTATGCATTTTATTTTCTAGCTAATAGAGGAGTGCTTGACCTTAGTTCAGGGAATGAAATACTGCTTGATGGGACTTAGAATACTGCTATGTGACAGAGATGATTTTTTCTGACTCCTGTAATGTTTTCCAAGAAATATATTTCGTCTGTACTATGTAATTCTACACCTTTCATGGTAATCTACATCTCTATATAATTCTGTATCTTTCATGATTCTCTGGTATAGTCAACTCTGCATTTTGAAGGTTTTCCTTGGCCTATAGTGGTTTAAGAGAGATATATATGTTAAAAATATGATTTTTCTACACAAATTAGAATGCTTTCATTTTTCCTGGGCAAAGCAGGCACACAGAAAATCATATATACTTCATATATTATAAATTGAGGTAACCTGAAAGATAATGTTTATAACTCTGTCTCACTATGTTGTTCTCAGGATTTTAGCAAAAAAACCAAACAAACAAAAAACTCAGTCAGGCAGCAAGACTTTTATTTTATTAAGGCTGGTATTACATTATCCATGGAACTTGCACTGCAGGCAGGAGGGAGTCCCAAGGTGTTTCATCTTGCTCTTAAGCAGGGAGTTATCCCAGCGTGCTTGTGGAGCAGGCTATCTTTTTCCTAATGGCACCCACTAGGCCTGAGCAGCAATCAGGAGATGGAGCGCAGTGTGTTGGAAACTATATAGTGGATGATTAAGGAGATATCTAGAAACAAATGGGACTGGTGAGGTTCAGGCTGTCTCCAAGGGCATCTTTGTGAAAGACACAAGAACAGTTCTGAAAACCATCATTATCCATTGTATTTATTGTTTGCATTATAATTCAACTGATTCTCATCGCAAATCGTTATGATGATGATTCCATGAAGACAATGTAAGAGAAAAGATAGGGCGTCTCCCAGGGATCCCGTAGTCTGACCGTCAGAGCTCATTCCATGGCTGTTTCAGCACGAGGTCTACAATGGTGGAGATGAATGGTAAATTAAAAAATAATGAATGGCCCTCAACTATCATCCTGCTTATCAGAGGCATACAAAGTCTAGCTGTTTTTATGTTTACAGTAAAGATAAACCTGGCTAGCATGATCCATATATCCATGTGGTCCACTTTATGGGTCCAAAAGAAGAAGTAAGAAATTCCCAATGCTAAGGAAAAGAAGTGCTTGGTTTTATTACACCAAGGCACCTCTCCAGTGCCTTTTTTCTTGTTTAAACTAACAATGTGTCTGGCTTTCTGCTTTATGGGAAAGGACAGTCACTGCCAGACACAAAAGGCAGTAAAAACCATAATGATGTCTCTGCTATAGTTTGGAAGTTGAACATCCAAAAGGCCCATGTGATAAACCTTGGTTGCGAGGCTGACAGAATTGGGAGGTGGCGGAATCTGAGAGCTGGGGGGTCGTTTGGTCACTGGGGTGAGGGGCCCCAGCCGGTCCCTTTGTTTCCTGATGATAAGGTGAAGACTGCTCTGTTCACCTTCCTCACCTCATCACTGCTCTCTGGCTCCCCTGCCTGAGGCAGAAGCATGGGTTCTACCCGGTCGTGGTCTGGCAGCTCTAAAGTGTCAACAAATGCATGGCCTTTTTCTTCATAAGCTGATTATCTCAGGAATTATGTTACGGAAAGCTGACTACCACAGTTCCTGCTCTTGAAATTGAGAAAGCATTTAGTGGTTTTTTTCGTTTGTTTGTTTGTTTGTTTTGTGTTTTTTTTTTTTTTTGGTAAAACATTGATGAATGCAAAAATTTTTAAAACAAGTTGTTCTACTTTGTATTGTGGTGTATGTATTATTCCTTATTTTTTAATCCCTTTCAAAAAATGTGATGAGTTCTCTTTGTACACTGAAAGAAATTCCACTTTTCATTGTCTGCAGTAAGTTTATGGCTTGGAATGAGGGTGAGAGCAGAGATAACTACACAGTACTGTCTGGCCACCTGTTTGTCCCCTAGCAGGAGCTCTGTGCTAGGCTTAACTCTGGTATATAAAATGTTTTTCACCCATCTTGAATAAAAAAGCAATCAAGATTGTCCCTTGGCAATCCAGAGGACACTAAAAACACGTTTCCAAAGTGAAGGGGAAAAGATTACCTGGTGCTGTGAGACACAGTAATTTTCTCTCAGTAGGGCATGAAAATATGGTGCAAGCCAATTTGGGGGCTTGAAGCCTTGGAGAAAATAATTGATTCAGGGCCCCAAAACTGTCAAAATGAGAACTCAAGTTGGTGATAACCTTGTGAAGACCATGTAACTGTTGACCATAAGGCATGAACTGAATGTTTATCTAGGGATCAGAACACCTACAGAAAAAAGGACTTGGCTTTCTACAAGCTGATAAGATCTCTTACTAGAGATTGGTAGGTTTTTATTAAGAAGATTCATAGCCCCCCAAAATTAGATGAACTGTTTAGAAACAGCTTCACCCTAAACAATGCCTCTCTTCGACCACCAGCAAGACAATCTGTTACAGTCAGACAAAAATATAGAAGAAAATGGGTATTTTCTAGAATAACTTAAAATATGATGGAAAGTCTTCTACATGGTAAAAAAAAGTAAATCAGGAAGTGGGCAGAGAGCACCCCGTTAGTGGATCAAATTGTTTTGGGGCAAAGTTTCAGGTAATTGAATGAATATGTAGTTGTTCAATAGGGCAACAAAATTCTCTCTCCTGGGTTGATGATTGAGTTTTAGAAATCTAAAAAATGGTTTAGTTTGTATAATTATTTCTGGATATCAAGTGTACCAATTTGATAGTCTTGTGAAGAAGATATAATTTTGTTATTCAAAACCATATAACTCTTTGTATGAATAGATAATAAATGAATAGATAATAAATAGGACAAGTAATCTGAATAAATTAACTAGTATTAACTTCCCACTCGAATTTTAAAATAAACTGTATAATGCTGGGTTCTTTGGTGCTGCATTTTGAAAATGTACTTACCTAGGATAATACTTATGCATTATGACTGCAGTCTAGCTTTCATTTCAGCATCAATCTGATAACAAAAACAACATTATATATAATTTAAAAGGTCCTTTAATTGCAGGCTACTAGATCAGAGAGAAGATATACCACAATTTGAAACCCAACTTAGAAGAAGAGTCTTGCCAAAATGCAATGTCATACTGCAGTTTTTATTGGTTGTGATTTACATTTATTTAACTTTAAATTGTCCCCTGCCTTAAAGAGTTTAGTCTTCTTGGAAAAATAGACAAATTAAAAAAAAAAGAAGACGGGAGAGTTTAATAACTGCTAATTAGCGGGTGTACACAGCAGATTGCCGGATGGAGAAAGAGGGATTCTGGACTGGATGAAGCCTGATGAAAGTCAGGGAAGCTGGGTCGAGTCTTTCTGCATTGAGAACTTGAGATCAGAGTAAATTAAAGTTTGGGAACGGCAAGAAGATGTGGAGAAGCCTGCAGGAGGTGCAGGACACAGGCCAGGAGGTCAGGCTGTGGAGAAACCGAGTGTACTGAGCCTCTGGATTGGGGGAATCCAGCCTTCAGTTTGGAACCAGTGGAAAGGTGTGGGAGGAACCTATTAACCGTTTTGTGCTTTGCAGAAATTAGTTTGATTCAGTGCGGAGATGGAATTGAGTGTGAGATATAAGACCGACTGGGAAACTGTGGCCAAGGTGAAAGAGTTCCTAAAATTAGACACTAAAATATTGAAAAAGACAGGTAGAATATTGAGGAATATTAAGTTATAATTGATAGGATATGTGTGGGAAAGGAGAAGGATAAATTATTACTAAGTTTTCATTTCTTGGAAAATTATAGTGATATTCATAAATTTTAATAAACACAAGAGGAAGTTTTAGGGAAAATATTTGGGTTATACTGACTTTGAATTTTGCTTCAGTTGTGTTTTGAGACAGGGCCCCTCTATGTAGCTGAGGCTAGACTTGAAATCATTATATAACCCAGACTGGCCTCAGCTCTACAGGAATCCTCCTGCCTCAGCCTCCCAGGTGCTGAGATTTTAGGCATATGTCACCGTACCTGGCTGAGTTGAATTTCTTATGGGATGAGATCTCATGTAATGAGAGAGTCCCACAGAGGGCCTGAGAAAATGCTGGCACTCAGGGGAGAAGTCCTGGATAGATGCAGAGCTGCAGCACAGAGGTGTGTGCAAAAGTGAAAATGCTCAGGGAAATGTCAGAGCAAGACAGGGAAAAATCACGTGAGAAAAGGCAAAACACAGATACTGAAGAAACTGATTCAGGGAGAAGAGGAAGTTCTGGGTATCAAGTGTTTTGTAGAGAAGTCGGACCAGGACTGGACAAGATTTTTTGGATTTATCAAGAAGGAGACTACTGAGGCCACCACTGCGGGAGTGGTACAGTCACATCACAAGCCGGGTTGCACAGGACTAGATAGTCTCCACGAGAGGTGACGAGCAGGGATACTGCACAGGTTTCCATGATCTCATAAGGGGAGAAGGAAAGAAAAATACAGAGGGGTGTCCATAGTTTGTTATTTATTCATTCATACATTTTTGAGATAAGGAGAAAAGCAACTTTAATACAAATTGGACAAGCCAGTGAAAAGACATTGTTAATATAAATGAAGAGATTAAAAGAGATATGGTATTTTCATGCAATGCAGTATTACTCAGCTTACAGAAGGACTGCATCAGGGCTTTTATAGGTAAACGGATGTGACCTGAGACCATACTCACAAGTGAAATAAATCTAACTCACATGTGTAAATACCATATTGTCTCCCTAGTATAAGAAACTCAAAGAGAAAATAAGATACAAAATCTACAATAGATATTTTGAAAGGGTAAGAATCTGCTCAAAGGGAAAAATAACTAGGATAGGGGAAAGGAGAACAGAAAGGTAAAAGAAAAAGATATAAATTTGTTTATATGTACATAAAATAGCTAAGTTGATTACACTACTAATTCTATTAGTTCTTGGAAAAGAACAGCTAATACTCTTATGATTCAATCAATTTGTATGTCTGTATTTGGTAATCTAAGCAAGTCTTTTGAAGACAAGAATATGCAATATTACAACCATTGTTAAATTCCTATCATCTTGGTTTGAAAGCATATATTGTTATTGTTTGGGTTTTCTTGTTGTTCTTGTAGTTGTTTGTATGTCTCTTGTTTTTGTTTCTCTTTTCTGTGTTTCTTTTCTCTTTAAAATAAAAAAAAAACTTTTAAAAAGTAGATATTATAATTAATGCAGGATGAATATAAGGATAGGAGGTCAATAGAATTCAGAGTGATACTTTTAACCTGGTAGACATTCTGTTACTTTAACAATAATTTTGGATTTCAGTCAATAGTTGGTAGTCTTTTAGTACTAAGATTCCTACTAATTAGCTCAGTGAGACGTGAAGACCTTGACAGTGTGGTGAGAGGAGCAGGCTAACGTGCAGATTGAACCTATGCTTTTCCCACCATCCTACAATTTCTGTAAATCACATTCCACCTGTCTATGGGAGGACAGTGCAAATGGTACTTAAAAATATTCAGGGTTGTTTTATATTACTCTCTAAATGTGTGCCATTACTGTTCTTCTCAACACATTGTGCATTCTCCATCTCTTGAGAGATAGGCAAACGGGAGCTTGGTGAAAGTTCATCCCAGGGTGTGGAGTAGAACATGCTTTTTCTTTGCCCAGCCCTGCCTGGCTGTTTGCATTTGTCTGCTTTCAAGAGCCTAGTCTGAACTGCTGCATGGAACTGCAGCTCTCCGTAGACTTTGCACCATGTTTGGTGTAGACTAGAGCTCTTAGTCAAATCCCAGAGGTAGTTCAGTAATGAGTTCTCACTAGAGTCTCTCAGGGTGCCCTGTCTGTGTTGGTGGAGAGAGAAAAACATTTGAGGCCTGACTTTGACAACGCACATTGTCTTGAAGGCGGTGGGCCTTGATGGCATAAACAAATGAGCCCATTGTGACGGTGCCATGGCAAAGCCAAGGGCAATATTCCTGGTGGTTGTTTTCTCAATCATGGCAATTAGGATGACGATGGTGGTGATTTCCACCTGGTAGGCTGTATGCTGGTCCCTCTTGCTACTCTTGTAGTAGTTGTGCCAAGTACAATTAGAGCTCAATCCCTGGATATGAGTGAAAGGAGTTGGATGCACATTCCTTTACACACACACAGTCATGCAAATACAGGCGGGGGAGATCTAACAAATTTTGCTCCAAAGGTGAATGCTGTTATAACAATTGTTCTTTGACATGAAGTCAGAAAGGCAGCCTGGAATTGTTTGCCCAGATGTGGGATAATTTTAGAAGGCCTCAGAAACAGCACCAAATCTCTGGGACTCTAAATCATCAATTGTGTACAAGAATCCTAACAATCCCATTGATCTCTCTCTTTTTTAGCAATTACTAAATGATGGGCTGCTCAGCTGCATTAGTATAAGTTTGCTGATGATAACACAAGAAAACAGAAATCTGTCACCTCTTTGCTGCAGTTAAAACTAAAAATGTTTTAAAATGACAATATGTTATAATGGAAAATATGCTGACAAGCAAGTCAAAGCAGGAAGGACCAGGGGTCTGGAAAAGCATGCGTTTCATTTCCAAAGTTCAGCTTGTCTTTGTGATGCAAGAGGAAAGTGCATCCGGAAGCAGAAAGCAAAGGAAGGGGAGGATTTCACAGTGATGCTCCGCGCAGAACCTAGAAGGTTGCTTTGTCTGATTTTGCACTCTTTTTAAATGGCCAAGAATCAAAGAATGAGGTTAAGAAACAGAGAGGTAGGCGGTGGAGATGGGAAGAGGATCAGGGAAAGAAGAGAGGGGAGCTTGGGGAACTCGGGGAGTAGAAACTCTCCTGATGCGTGTGGATGTGTATCAGACCCCTTGAGACCCCTCGCTGAGCGCAGTCACTGTTGGTCACAAACTTATACCAATAAAGAATCTTAAAAAGGAAACTTCTCCCAGTACCAAATAACTTGCAGAGAAGTTGATTTTACTTATCTAAATTCATCTTAGATCTAGGTGATGGAAAACAAATTAGTACAAAAGAAATTGTTCAATTTAATTATTTTACACTAAATACCTTAATGTCCATGATGATAGAAATAACCTGATAATCCAACTTATTTAATGCTTATATTCAAGTGTTATGTTTATGGAATTTTATTGAATGATAAATATGTGATATTTTTGTCAGAATAATTTAAAGACCTGGCTTTTTAGTAACATAGTCTTCTCATTTTGGAATTCTCAGTATACATCGTCACAAAGAAGATTAGCAAATACAGAGGGGTGTAAGTGTAAAAATCAGGAGAAGAATCATCCCCCAGGAGATCCCCAAGGGAAGGTAAAGAGGAAAGAATATCATGTAGCTGCATTTGTCAAACTGATTTAAAACTCTGTTTAGGTACAATATAATAAATCAAAATAAAACTTTACTAAACTATCAAGAGAATTGAAATTGATAGTATACTTTTTGTACTTTCCACAGAATAATTTTTATAAAGCTACTTCAAATATAAAAGAGCTGCTACTGAGAACAAACAGTCATTTTTCAGTTTAGAGAAATCCAGTGCAGGTTTAATAGAAATTATGAAAGAACTATCAAGCTTAGTTTATAGAAAACTGTTCTCATAAATGAAGCTACCTGCAGTGAAACAGGCTATTTCTAAATACAGAAAAAATAAATTGACTACAAGTATTTAAGTGGGGACTGAATGGCTTGTGGAAGAAATTAGCTGGGTGAGAAATTACACTTGATGATCTTCATAGTTTTCTTCTAGCACTTACACTTTTGTGATTCTATTATATCAATTTCTTGGATATTTTCAAATATGTTATAAAAGATACCATTCTTTGTTTCTCTCATAGTTTTATGAATGAACAAACATTCATATGCATTCTTAACTTCTTTCAATTGGTATTAAATAACTGGTATTAAATTATTAGGCTAAGAGTCATTGACCTTCACAGTAAAGTTATTTTTCTACAAAGATAAACAAAACTAATGAGTTAAAAGTAGATCATAAATTACTGTGGCTTGTGTCCAGATGTCCCCCAAAGCCAGCTATGGACTGAAACCTCTACAAACTGTGAGCAATCCCTTTTGGATGCTAGGATTTTTGTCTTAGTAAGGTTCTTTCCAATATATGATAACTAAGACCAGTAACAAAGCTTTGTGTCTCCTACTGAGTACTTACTTTGAAGATAATGATACACAGTGTAATAACTATTGTTATTCTCTATTTGGTTATGAAAAATTGTTTTATTTCTTTCATAAAATAAAAAGAAAAGAAAATAATAAATTCAATCTGTCAAAGAAAAACCCCCACAAAACACCTGAACTGCAGCCAACAGAGTGGGCAAGGAATACAAATTAGTATGAGTTTCAGAGTTAAACAAAGGAAAAAAGTTGCATCATGATATACAGTTGTTCTTACCAGTGCCTCTATATTCCTTAAATGAAGAGGCTAAAACCATAAAGTTCTTGGAATTATGTCTCATATCTTCACTCTGGCAATATGATATATAGTGTTGCCCTTAGCTTTAGACACTTCTAAATAATAAGCAATTAATAGAGAGTAATAGATAAAGTGAAAAATGTGTACAGATGGGCTAATTCTGAAAAAGGCCTATAAAAACCTACTTCCACAAAGTAAGATTGATGCCTGACCTGGAGGACAAGAGCATAGGGTAAGACACAAATCTCAGAAGTTAGAGGGAGCCGAGGGCTGGTAACAGGGAGCCCACACGGCCTGAATGGCCTCTGCTGCCCCGCGGTTCACAGAGCCGTGCAGGGAACACAGCCATGCAGCCTCACCTGGCTTCCAGGAGACAACCAAGAGGCCTTAGAGACCACGAATACGGAAACTTTGCTTGATCTCTTGTTGCACAAAGCTTGTGTTTATGCAGTGTATAAAACACATGATGCGGACACTATGCAAATATGTTTAAGAAATAAGGAAGAAAGGATGGAGGAAGAGGAAAGCGAGGGAGGAAGAGAAGGGAAATCGTTTAAAGAAAGATGACCTAAACAACTAACAAAAATTGAGAGGAGGGGGGAGAAAGTTGAAAGATTCATATCTAAGAGATCTAATGTCTTTCAGAATTGAGAGCCAACTGGTAGTGTCGGAAAGTAGTCATGATGTAAAACATTTAATGTTTAACAGTAAAACCTTTAACCTCAGAAATAACTGTTATGGTAAAGAAGCATTTTTGTTATCTCCAGAAATTCTTCAGTTACATTTCTTTTTCTGGTGTCGTATTAGAACAAAAAGAAATTTTTGATAACTAAAGTGGATATCATGATCCTGTTTTCAAAAAGTATATCTTTTTATGAATTTGCCTGCTCATATGCACGCAGGTGTGTATACTACATGAACACGCATGCATAAGTAGAGACTTTTGCACTGTATTTGTACTGTATTCTTTTCTTCTTTCATCTTTTAAAAGTCGTTACCATGTTCCAGCCTATAGTATGAAAAACACATTTTGCTGCCTATATTCATAAATCTTTTTGTTTCTTAAAACATAAAATTTTCTAAGCTTGTAACTACCTTCATAAATTTGCCTTTAGGTGAACATAATATAGACACAGTTGCTTTCTTACTCTCGTTGGTAAGAGGCAAGGTTATTACAGCACTGCCATGATAACATTTCATTAATGAGCGAACTGGGTAAATCTGAGTGCACAACTCTTTCAGTCTTCTGCAATGAGCAACACACGGTTATGCCTTCTTACCTGTGCGTCACAGTAGCGAGGCGGTGAGTTTATGGAGCAGCACTTGGAGGCGAAGTCTGAGTGTCTCTCCACCTGGCCCGCCAGCTCAGTGGGGGTGGCACCAGGCAGCTTCGTTCTCAGTCTCTCTGTCAACCTGAAACACCATGTTTACAGAGGGTTTTACTAGATACATTTTATAAACACTTTTCAGGCAAATAACAGCCATTTCAGAATTTGTACAATAAAACAATAAAAAGACAAATACTTGCAGGTATCAAACGTTCTATTTTTTCTGTGGCTGTGGAATGAGGTTTGTAGATACTTGAGATTAGAAAGGTAAATTTGTGCCTCTTTTAAAACCATGAAAGTAAACAGAAATTGTTGCTCAAACTGAGCTCCAGTCTTTCCCCTTTCATTTGGCCGTGATTTCAACATAAATGATTTTCTCTAGCCTTTCACTCCATCTCTGGTTTTGGCTTTCAAGCTTCTTAAAGGATATTTGTTTACAAGACCTCCTATGCCTTCACGTGTTCCCTTTCCTCCCGTATTTCTCCCCTCAACTCACCTCTTCTTAACTCCTGCTAGACAGCATGAGTGGGAGCAGTCACACTGGCCCTCACTTTGAGCTGTTCATTAGCTAATTATCTCACATTCAAGACAGTGACAGCACCTGGCAGCACTGGACTGTCTCAGTGTGAACAGTCTGTGATGTTGGTGCCTCCCCACTAAAAACTGACAGCTCAGCCTGGTTTCGTGACCTTCTTTGAGATATTCTTGCCCATTTTTACCTGGAGTTGGGCCTGGCAAGGTAGATGCAGGGCAGAGAGGAGGGCACACGGGGAGACTAGTTTGCCCATGAGAGCTTTATTAAACACGTGTGTTCTAGCTGAGACTGGGAGGCAAGGTGCCTCAGAGGGGGTGGAGAGGATGGGAGAGACACGTGGCAGACGGAGGGAATTTCAGATGCCTCGCTGGATAGTCTCAATCTTCCCTAATTTCCTGCCCCAGTGTCAGTCTACTCCATGTTCATCTGGAACTGAGATGATAAGATGATTTCTCAGCTGCCTTCATACAGTCCTGGGGCTTGAAATTTCACAGATAACTTAATTTTGAACCATCTACTTGACATTGTCTATCCTGCCTCCGTCATGTATGTTCTTTTGAAACTATGCCATTGAACATGTCTGATAACTGAGGAAATCACCATTTCAATCTTAAGGATCCCATAGGTTTTCTTTTCTTTTAGAGTTGACTAAGTACAGGTGATGGGGATCATTGAATGTATCTTGCTTTTACTATTCACTAGGAAGATCTTTTTGGAAGTTCTATTTTTGTTTACTTAGAGTACTGGCTCAAAATGATTTGAAATGCATCTGGGATATTTACTAAAGTTGAGAATCACATGGTCTTTTCAAGTGGGGACTTTTCCCAAGAATTCAGTACCTCCTCTATTATTACTAAGATTTGTTATTTTATTGTTAATGTCCACCTGCAAAGAAATGCTTTTTCCTCCCCTCTTAATTGAGGAAAATGACTACTGTACAATATTATAGGTAATTTGTATTCCTATTCCTACTTCATAAGGAGCACATTCTGGTAATGGCTGAGAGAGCAACCGATCAACAGTTTGGGTCTACCTGTCAGGAGGCCTGTGATGAAATCAGGAGTTTTATGAATCCTCAGTATGTTTACCAATACCCACAGATAACTTCAGGCACGGGTGTCAGTATGCTAGCATGGTTTTGTTAAAATCAAGTGCTCACTTGGCACAGGGCATTTTTCTTCCTGGGAAAAGAACTCAGCTGCTCCTTATACTGATGCCAGATTCTACTTTTTAAAATGCCTTAATTACCTCTTTTTATTGCTCACATAGCATATCCTAGACTTTCAGTTACCATTAAAGTCATAATACAGTATTAGACAAATATTAATGCAGAATTCGGGGAATGTGACCAGAGTAGGCCTCTTACTTTTTCTTGTACTCAGTAAACGTGTTTTCTGAATAATCCGCACATAATTCTTGTCCCTTCTCAATGAAAGAAGATAATTCTTTCTTCAGTTGAGAACCCTGTTAAAAAAAATAATCTCGTAACAAAGTCCTTTGTCTTGAATCACTGTCCCAACAGGCTCCTAAGCCAGAATTCCATATTTCATTCACACAGGGCACTGGGAAGTGTTTTCAGTGTAAGGCAGGATAGTAAATATTTAATCCTTTCTAGGCCGTGTGTGTTCTCATTATTAAGTACTCCCTTGTGCATTCAGGTAGTCACGAACCATGTAAAAACAGAGGATGACTGTATTCCAGTGACACTTTATAATGGAGGCTGCAATTTGAATTTCATTTAATTTTTGTGTCAATGAATTAGTCATCTACTTTTGGTAGCTTTTTCCTAATAATTAGGACATGCTGTTCTTTTCTGTTCTGATCCTGAGGTCACACAAAAGTCATAGTAGCTCATGAGCTTCAGTTTATCAACCGTCGGTCCACGAGGCTGATAAAGAAGCTCTCGAGCCTTCTACCTTGTCAGTAAAGCAGGAGGCAGAGTCCTCAGAGTCACAGCATTCATTAAGACTCTTCAGGGTTGGCTCCAGGATTTTGCTAAGGAATACTTCTGGAATAGGAGTCCTTCTACTGAGTTCAAACGTGTACCTGGCAGGAGAGAGAGAGAGAAGAAGATAGACAGAACTCTTCAAGACATGTGAATGTGTGCAGGTTTGGTTTGTGTACTGAAATGTGACACACTGACAACAAAAACAGAACCCTAAGAGATTTAGCCCAAACTGACTCAATATCAGAAGATTTTATATTACATAGTTTCATTAAAATATGTCATTAATACTTACTTTGAAGTATATATGAATATATAATACAAGTAAATATAATACACAATACAATCTGATTTATATGTAACATATAAATATATATCTTGTATAATATATACACATCTCCAAACTCCTCTGGAACGGTACTTTGTATCAAAATTAATCCTACAGATAACACTGTGTGTATACGTTCCACAACTTTTGTGTAAAAATAGGTTTGTACAAATTTTTTATCATGTCTCATCCTGCTTGTTATACACTTATAAAAACACTATCAATAAAAAATGTAAATTAAAGTTTAAGTCTTATATGGTTCTGCTGTCTAATATTGGGCATTGTTACCCTAAAGTATGTTACCAATCTATTTGTGAAATACTTTTATGCTGAGTATTTCTGCTGAGTGAGTGTTTACACTATATGCAACCCATGACTTATTTATCTTATATTTTTATAGTTACATAAAATAAAGATTTATCATTTATTCATATTTAAATTCTTTTTATGTTTAGTGGTAGTGAATTATAAGTAATATGATAAAACTAGCTAACATGATACATATTTTTATCATACTATATTTTATAAGTGCACAATTTTATTGTATAAAAGTTCACACTCATTTTCACTTGCATTTCTACGTGCATTTCTTACGGGCAACCTATGTGCTCGGGCAATGTGAAGTAAGAAGAGGTTAAAGTTCAGAAAGACCAGGTCACTTCTTCTGCCATGCATCTGCAATAATCAGAGAGGCAGAATCTGGAACTCCAAGTTTGTTTCTCCACATAAAAATCTATTAGAGTTGATTGTTCTTCATTTAAAACAGACTATTGCGTTTTGAAATTCTGAGCAATTTAAAATCAATTAATGAAGACTTCAAGTCCATTAAAAACACATGAAAAACTTTGTGATTGAAGTGGGGGAGCACAGCTTGCCTCAGCCAGGCTGTCATCCAGGAGACAGCACAGCAGCCCCCCCAGGGCACCCTACTTACTGGTCCAAGGCTTTGGTGCTCTTTTGCCCGCACACTTCGGTATTTGTGGGCAGCTCAACGGCTTGAAGCTTTACTTGCGGGGCAGCTGGCATGAAGTACACACATGTAAAAATGCCCAAGGGCGTTTCTTCTCGACAACATTCTTCAAACTTAGAATTCTTCTTGGATAAGTTGTCGCAGACTCTTACTGTGTATTCAGGCAGCTACAAAAGGAATGGTGAATTTGAGCATTGGTAGTTTTGTTGGTAGCCTTATTAAAAATAAGACTTAATCTTGTAAGTCCTAGAAGCATATATATAAAAGTCAGTATGACTATTCTTATTTAAGTAAAAATATAGAGTATCTGGAAAAATAAGTGAGACACATGCGATAGAAATATGCAACAGAGTCCTAGTTAGCCTTATACCTCATGGTAAAAAGTATCCATTAACACAGTCACATATTTTTGGTGGGAAAGAAACAGACAACAAAATGTATTTCTTACTAAGGAAGAAACGAGACCTTGAAGATTGACCTTCATCTAAAGCAATTAGTTCAGTTGGTATCTACTTGAGTAAATTACACAATTTAAAAATAGTGTAAACATTTGAGCTGCTCACCAAATTATAAAACTTGTAGTAAAAACATTAATAGGCTCTAATAGTATAATGGTTTCAACACTAATATGACTTTATGAAAACTTTGCACTTTCCAGTACTATAATGCATTTGAAATGTGGCTAGTATGAATGAATAACTGAGATTTAAGTTACATTCAATCTAAATACATACATTCCATTTGAATTATTAATTTAAATAATCGTGTGGTTAGTGGATTACTGCATTATATATAGTGTGTGCAGAGTAAGAGTTTGGGAATCAGATGATGTTGTCCTTGTATGCTGATTCTGTTACTTAAAAGTTTCACAGTTTCAGATTATTGAACCTTGTTAATCTTTATAAAGCTAAAAAGACAGTGCATGTGAAAAGCAGCTCAGAAGAGTGTGTGCCAGTTGGAACATGTACCCAGTGCTGCACACAGCATTGCTGAGGACAAACACCTTACCTCTTTGGCCATGCAGTCCTCGGAGGTAGACTCACAGCATTTGGAGAGGATGGTAGTGATATCTTCAGCTAGGGACAAGACATCCTTCAAATCAGCAGTAGGCGCTTTTTGGGCTAATTTTATGAGATGGCTAAAGAGTTGAAAACGAATTTGTTAGATACCCACATTCTCAGTTTTCCTGGTTTCATTAACGTACCACCAAGATGAATAATACTGTAGTTTCAAAGCATGGAGCACATCTGCCTTGTGATAGATTCTGTGTACCAAAAACAATATTCAAAATCAAATCATCCCAAATGAATGTTTTCATATTTTCAGAAGTCAAATGCAACATCTCTGGCCAGATCTACATAATTGAAGCATACCTTTAAAATGTTGACTGCAAAACACAATAAACAAAGCATAGGTAATCAGAACTGGGGAGACAGATCTTTCTCAGATGGAAAGGGTATCAGGAGATGGAGGAAGGGGACGGGAGAGGAATTGACATATGCATATTTTTTTCTTTGTCATTTCATCTCTCCAAATACATTTGGGTTGCTTTCATCTCATGGTCATTGTGAATAATGCAAAAATGAACATGGGGTATAAGTGCACATAGTGATTGAAACATAGGATGAGTGTTTTATTCTATAAGTATTACAGTAAAAGTCACATGAATTCCCTTCAGAGTCCTCCTCCCCTCATTCAAATACACATTACTTTTGGCACTTTCTGGAGCAGATGTGGAAGTCCTCTTACTGTCTTTAGCTGTGCTATCCTGGCCTGCCTCAATGCCTGAATTAATTTGAAATACTTACTCTTCATTGTCACTTTGACTCTAGGAAAAGCCCGAACGCACAGGATGACTGAAAAGTACAGAAATTACATTAGACATATTGTTCTGTTTTTAATGAGATGGCATGCCATAGCAGCATGAAGTACATTTGTGATTACATTTTATGAAGAGTCAGGAAAGAGAATTTCCAGGACTGCTCCAGAAAATGCCAAATAATGGGATAGGTGGTTCCAAGACAGGGAGAGTATTTTGAAGCGATAAACAGCAATGCCCTTTTACTGTAATACATGATTAAAATTTAAACATTCACTGTGTATTTTAATCACCCCTTGCATTGCCTTTTCTCTCTGTTGATTATGTTCTTCAGGCAGAAGTTTTACTATTTAATGTGATTCCCTTTTCCTTGTTTTTCTTGACCACATTTTGATGTCACATCCAAAGAATCACTGCCACATTTCATACCCTCAAAATTTACCCCCTGTTTTCTTGTAGTTTTATCATTTTAGGTGTCACATTCAGATCTTCAAGCCCCTTTTGAGTTCACCTTTACGTATGATGTAATGAGAGGGACCAGCTTCATGCTTTTATCTGCAGATATCCAGGTTTTTCTTGTTGAAGAAACTCTTTCCTCCTTGTGTAGCTTTGGCACTGTCATTCATTTGTGACAACGTTTTGTGTCTAGCACTGTGTTCTATTCCTTTGGTCTATTTATCTGATTTTAGGTCAACATCATGCATCTTGAGTGCTGTTACCTTCTGGTATGTTTGCTATCAGGAGGTTTTAAGCTCTCAACTTTACTCTTTTCCAAAAGAGCCCTTTTAGTTTTAAGAGGTGCTAGATGTTGGATGTGGAATGCCTTAGAGAGTCCTGGTGTTGGGAGTGGTAGAATCCTGAGGATGAGGCCCTGGGAGATGCAGTCTGGGATTATTGAGGACTCACCCATCAAAGCAGTTTCTGCTGAGTGAAACCGACTTCTTTCTCTTGCCTCTCCTGGCTATAAAGTGAGCAGTCTGCTTCGCCATGTGCTCCTATCCCTACCCAGCCCCACAGTGTCAACAGTGCCAACTGGTCACAGACTGCAACCTCTAGAATCATAAACCAAAACAAGCCTGTTGCCTTGATAAATTGATTATTTCAGATATTCATTATAATCATAGAAAGCTAACAGATATTTTTCTGTTTTGACAAAACATACTTTTGACAGAGATTCTATTAGGTCAGCAGATTGCTTTCTGAATGGATATTCTAATAGTAGTAAGTCTGAGAGGTTTTTCAGTTATTGTGTTTTCTGTTTGCTTTCCTTGAACAGTGCTTTGTAGTTTTCATTAAGCACTCTTTTATAGCATAATTTTGGCAAACTGTAATGTTCTTTTATATTTATGTACTAAAACTGGAACATTTTCTATCTGATGACTGGGAAATGTACAATTTTTTACTTTTAAAAACATGGTACCAGTATTTTGTAGCTTAACCTTTGTTTGGGGTAAGTGATATTCCTTTCTTTTTTATTATGTTTACATTATATCATGTTACATTCCTTGTGGGAAGTTGGAACATATACACCTACATTTTTCTTACCTTCCCTCTCCTCCTCCTCCCTGCATCTCTTGATCCCCTTCCCATTTGAGAAGGATGATATTGTTCTGCAGTAAACTCTTGTCATTAATGCAAATATAAAGTAATATTAATTAAATAGTGTACATGGTGATTTTATGTTGTAAATTCTTATGTTCTATTTGCCAAAGGCACTATCTCATGAAAAGCAAATGAAAGCAAGCACTAGAGAAAATGTCACTATTTGAGTAGCTTTGTGGTAGACTCTGTTCATATTGTCTTTTACAAGAATCACGTTAGAGAACATTAATATGATAGATAGTCCAGAACCAAACTACAGCTAACGGTGCTAGGTCTTTACCTGATCTGTGATTTCTCCTTTCCATTGACAGCATACTGCGAACAGACTCGATTTGACATAGTGGTCAGGAGTGATAGGTGTCTAATTTGTAGTCTCTACAGAGTAAGCAAGAATCTTATTAGATGATCAAGACTCACTGAAAACAATGTTCACACAGCAAAAGCAGATAGTAATTTCGTTACGTTTTTGATGAATGGAAAACTGAGCAATGACTAAAGAGACTGATTGATACCTTCTTTCCAGAAGGTGCATATTTATTTTCTCAATTCATGAAATTCTTTTTTTTTTTTTTTTTTTTTTGTACCAGGGGTCACACTCACGGCCTTGTAATTGCAAAGCAAGCGTTCATACTGCAGAGCTAAATCCCTGGCCCCCAATTCATGAAATTCTAATGGACACATTTTAGAAACTTTTACTCATTGCAAAATTACATGCAGAGAAACAGAACAAAACTGCATAATAAACAGAACCTACCTCTTTCAAAAAGCACACGGTTGGATTTGGGGAGGTGCAGCAGGACCCGACCATTGAAAGATAACTCTTTGTGTAACTAACTAAAAGTAGCAGTGGGACTTGGCCATAATTACTGGAGTATTCATACACAAATCTGCGGGAGAAAAACAGGATCAATTAAAGAATTTGTAGGAAAACAAAATCTAACACTTCGGGAGTATTGTGATGAAGAAATGATACAAGTTTACATTTTTTGTCTAAAAAGCATTAGGGATTTACAGAAAGAACTGTAATACTAGTCATGTCTAATCGGTGTATTTATTTAAAAAACATAGATGGATTCCCATGTGGTTTGACAGAGGGAGGAGTTATTTTCTCTTTTATTCTCTTGGTATCTAGACAAGTGCTTATCCACTGCAACTGCTTATTAAGCTGCCTGTTGAGCTAATTACAATGACTGTAGTTGGTGGATTGACTGTTTGTTATGTATTTCAGTTGATTATTTTAGACAACAGCCTAAGTTAAATGTACTTATATGTTAGAAGAAATCATTTTCATTTTTAAGAATATGTTTTTATGAGCTAAAGGAGATTTTGAAATCTTTAGAGAAGTCCTCTATGAAGATTTATAGGAATGGAGAAGCCAATTTATAATTTTTAAAAATGATGACAATTTGAATAGCATTGCTTTTGATTTATTTGTATCTGTATATGTGTGTATTAGTTTTCTGCTATTGTACCTTGACTTTTCCCCATTTTTTGTCTATTTTTAGACTCCTAGACTAACATAATGAGAAGCTAATCTGCCTCCTCATGCACATTAAATAATGAGAACGTCAAAGTTACATCTCCACTTTTGTAGTTCCTGTGTCATGTTCATATCTGTTTTTGTTTGTTTGTTTTAACCAGGGATCAAACTCACAAGCTTGCACTAGCTAAGCAGTCACTTAGGCCACTGAGCTAAACCCTCCATCCCATATCTGTTTTTGAAGAAACATAAGAGTGAAGAAAACAAAACAAAACAAAACAAAACTTGCATTTCTTATGCTATAATGCAAAGTAAGTATTTTAAAATGTCCATAGTAATAGAGTTGCTTCATCATTTGGGGTCTGCAAGGGTCCCTGTCATACGGGATTCACCAAAGGGACTGGTGAATGTTTGGGCCTATGTCACCATGACAGGGGATCCAAGGCGTCCGCTGCAGGTGACAGAACTCGGCTGAGGGCCAGCATTTGGGGTAGTGGTTCTGGCTGAGAAAGGCTTCTGGACAATCAGCGCTGACAGAGGATACACTGCCTCGGGTCAAAGCCCAGGACCCACTCTTCCTGCTTGTTCGGCTGCCCCAGAGAGGCATCGGAGGAGGTTTGGGCGCAGACATTTTGTAACCCAGTTTTGTATTATGAGAAGAGCTTACTGGTCAGCAAATCTCCTCGGATCTTTCTTGAACGCCTCGCAGATTTCCTCGTTCGTGGGCTCCACGTAGGTGGGGAACTCTTGCGGCTGGTGGCTCAGCGCAGCCATGCAGAGCTTGCGCTCCAGGCCCTCGGCGGCACAGCACGCGGGCGTCCCCTCGTGCACCGGGAAGGGGGAGTCACTCTCGCAGGACTTGGCCGACAAGGCCGCGGTCTGGACGAGGGGAGAGAAAAGGGAGCTCACAGCGTACCATATGCAAGTTTCTGCCCTGCAGTTCTCCACTCCAGTACGTGAAGCTGGTGCGCACCCAGCGCACCTTCATTCCTGCCATCCTGTCCTTCCCCGTCTCCTGTCTCCCTCCTCTCTTGACCCCTTTCCTCCCTGAGAAAGATCCGACTCTACTTCTATCATCTATCTATTATTTTGCCTTTTATTTATACTTTGGGCATAAAGATGGTCTTGGTCTGTAATTTAACGATTCTCATTAGTCACAAAGGGGTCATGCAGAAGTTTCTAGGAGATGATTTGCGGAGATGAAAAGTTGCACAACTACATTAAAGGCAGGCACAAGGCCTTGTGTATGGTAAGAGAAGACTTCCCTCAGAGTAGAACACACAATAGAACTTTTGTGATCAATAGACTGTCTCTGAGTGCGGCCACTCGACTTTCAGCCCCACTACCTGCGTGTGTCCCTGGGGACCTCAGCTCCCCGAGGTGACAGGAGCACCCCCCCCCCCAGGGTCCGTGCCAGCCCGCGTTGCTTTTCGCTGAGGTTACCCGACAGGGATGAGGACCTCCCTTCCCTCCCTTTATTAAATGAGCAGACTGTTGACACTGTAGCACTCTAGCCTTCTACAAGTGTCCACTTGATTGTTCTGGAGTAGTGATTCAGTACATCAAAGTGGGAGTGCAAAGATCAGTTTTTCCCAGAGTTTCCGATGTGTTTTGAAGCACAGCACAGGCTGAGGACCACACTGTACTCCAGTATCCTGGCACAGCACTGCCACACTGATGCATGTGCAGTGAGGAAGCCCTGTCCGAGGGATTGCAGTAACGCTGTTTGCTTTGGGAAATGTGACATGTGAGATAAAACTGTAGACAAGAGACTGACTTCACAGAGCAAAAAGGATTAGAAACAGCCTTTCATCGTGGAAGAATTATTTGGGCACTTTTGTGTGAAAACGTAATTTAATGTCCTTGTCCTTATTTTTTATATGTTGGTCTTGTTTTCTAAGATAAAACTTCCAAAGGGCCCTTCCTGCCAGGAAGGAAAGCAACGTGATTCGTGGGTCCTAAAGCGAACCTCCACCCAGCCCTCCTTTACCTCTCACAGCTTTTAGGCTTTATTTCTCTCAATCCAGGGAAGCAGAGTTGCTGTCTAGGCTTCCTCAAAGCGTGGCAAGGACACCTCGGGACTTTGTGCTGTGGAGACTGCGGCCAGGAACACTCACCCTGCTGTCATAGCAGTCGGGGGCAGCTCCCTCCGCACAGCACTCCTCTGTCAAGGCAACAACTTCCTGCACGAGCTGGCTGACCTGCTCAAAGGTGCCCCTGGAAAACTTCCTGCTGTAGAGGATTAGTGACCTGAGGGGGAAATATTAATAGTCATTTCATCCAAATTCTCACAGTTTTTCATACAGTAAAATAGAAAGACTAGTCAATTTCTAAATGAGATACTTCCTATAACTTATTTGGCTAATTAAAAATGAGATTGAATTTATTTATTTATTTTTTAATATTTTGCATATTATCTTCAAAGTAGTTGTTCAGAGTGCAAAATATAGGCATGAAAAATGATCAAACAATCAAACAGTGAAAACACAAACTGTTCTTGAGGTTGAATTTAAGAAGTACTTTTTGTTCTAGGGACGTTTATCTTGTAAGCAACAGAAATTGGACTTTGAGTTTGCATCAAACCAGCCCAATATCTGCTTAAAGCCGCTTGTAAAAATCTCAGGCTGTACCTCATTACCCTTGTTTACCAGAGGCCTGTTGTTACACTTTACCTCAGGAAACTATCCCTTAATCATCTATTTAAGCTCATTTGTAAATTTACTGGTGTCAGATTATTACTTCATAGTAACCATAAATCCATTGGAACTGTTGGGTGCCCCACTTTGCCTGGCTCTGCTGGTGCAAGTCCTGGAACTCAGTCCCTTCATCTTCTCAGCCATCATGTCTACCTTTGCACTGAACAGAGGCTGACTTGCATTTATTGTTCAAGTTTGAGTACCAGACAGTCAAGTAGCTCCTGCACACTTACAGAGTTCTGAATTCATCCTTTCCCAAGTTGGTGAGCTCCTTGCAGACTTTATCCCTTTCAAAATCTCGACCTAGGAACCAGAAATAGAAAATTCATCTTTTCCCTTTTAGTGTCTATTGCAAAAACTGTACATGTATAAAGTGATCTTCTATACAATCTATGGTACAAGTAGCATTATCTGTTATCTATCCGCAATTTAATTTGGGGAGTATCTTTCTATTTTCATATAATAGATGACAACTTAACAATGTGTTGCTTTATTTTAATGAACAGCAGAAAAAAATGAAGAGTGGATTAATATCAAGAATAGATTAGTCAAATAATTGTGCCAACTAGTTTGTATCTATTAATAAGAAAACGATTCCCTGAGATCCTGTCTTTACAACAATGCCAAAATTGAACGGTTTCTTCTTCCTCCTTTCTTTCTCTGTCTCCCTCCTTCCTCCCTCTCTCTTTTGTTGATTTTAGTTTCACTTAAGTTTTAAACAAAGCAGAACAGGAAGGCAGAGGAGAAGACTTTCCATTCCAGAGGAAGGGGCCACCCTGCCAATACAGGAGCCCAAAGAGGGTATAAGGGAGCAAGCACTGCCGTCGCCCTGCAGGAGCTGTAAAGGAAAGCTGGGAATTCAGCTGGGGAAAAACTGTGGCAAAATGGTTTTTGAAGGAAATATGGGGAAAGGTGGAAAGGCTTTCCCTGCTCTCCAAATGTAGCTAAGTGGCCTTCAAGGAAGCTCCTCAGAAACTTCATTAGGTGGCCTTGGAGTTTGAGGCATAGTGAACGGGTGCCTGATTCAGGCTGGAAGCAGTCTAAAGTGGTGACCTGCAGGAAACAAGGTGTACTGCCACCTCCCAAAGGGCTCTCTGGAGGGCAGTGGGCTGCAGGCAGTGAGGTGCTCCCTTTGGAAAGCAGGGTCCCAGGGCATCTCCAGGAGCTGCAGACTTCTCCAGGGATGCTGAGAGAGATGCCAAGCAACCCACTGAGAGAACCTCTCAGCCTATTCGCACATCTCTGTACTTAGAGGAGACGACAGCAGTGTGTTAGGTTAGTTTTTCCTGATGCTGCCCCTCCTGCTAGCTGCTCCCTTCCTTGCGTGTTAATGCTGGAGGAGCTCTGTGCAGCCCACAGAGTGCAAGGAGAGGGGCGCAGGCAGAGGAAAGGAGAGGCAAGCTTGCATGTCTGCTTTCCTGTCACAGGCAGGGAAGGGGCTTCCACTTCAAATAAGTTTACATCGTCGTGTTAAATTTAACCATTCATTCTCAGGACTAAAGTGAAGTTGTTATTTCAGGGTCAAAAATATGAAAGGACTTTTTTATTCTCTGTGAGCAAACAGAAAAATGATCACAACTGAATTTCAGTCCATTCAAGAAGCGAACAGCAGCATAGACAAAGAGTTCTTTACTTTGCTGAGATGTCCTTTGTCAGTGTTTCTGTCCTTTCAGAAATTTTTCAACCCTGGCATGCTTTATCCTTTGAAGAACTGTAAGAAGTACATGAATGGCCTTGTTTATATTCTAAAGGACTTTTACTTTTAGAAATTTATCTTCTTGACTTTAAACATTAGCAATGCCATCTTCAAGGTTGTGGTGGTAACTGCTGCCATGTATTTTATTTCAAAGATATCCTCATTTCTTTAACAGTTATAGTTCTAGGAGGGCTGAATATAACCAGGTTGAAATGCTTGTATTATGGTCGGGAATGGAGGTTGTGATGTTGGATACAAATTTGGGAGGTGTTTTTTTAAAATAAAATGATTCATTTTAGGATTGGTAGGTTTATGATAAAAATTGACTGTAGAGGAATTTGTACTGTATTTTTCAGATAACAACACAAAATAGATTTCTCAGGTGAGAAAAATCAGAAATTAGAGACAACATTGTGAAGTATCATTTTGTAAGAGGGAAACAACTCAAATGAATATCATCAAAACTCCATGGAAACTCGGAAAGTCCCTACATGTTAAAACCTGACATTTTCTGGAGATTAGACGAAGGTCATGAGACTGATAAACCAAAAGGTCAGCAGAATACAAAAGGTCACCTGCAGCAAAGCTCCAGTATGTCTGAGAACCTTCACATCTAGTATATTTTCTGAAATTTATTGATTAGTTTACAAGATAAGATATTGTGACAGGCTCAAAAGGTCAAAGGAAGGTAGAAAATTTTCATTAATCATTAACAGTGTTTTATGAAGACCTAACAATAATAGGAAAATATAGGTCTTGTGGTGAAATATTGTGTTGCTTAAATTATTCTGTTCTGATCTGCTTTGTTAGGTCTTCTTTTGTCTTAATCGCTTTAAAATAAAAAATTTTTAAGAATAGGGAAATATAGAAGTTAGAACTGTGTACAGTGAGTTATATTTTAGGGTACAGATAAAGTTTTAATCTATTGCTAAAGTAGAGTTAGGAAAAATGGGTATTAGTTGTACAGTAGTAGAATTTAGCTCAATGTAAGAAAACTTTGCTCAAGCCTATAATTCCAGCATTTTGGAGGCTGTGGCAAGAGGATACAGTGAGTTTGAGGCCAGCTTGGACTGTACAGAGAGCTCAGGGTCAGCCCGAACTACAAAATGAGACCCTGTCTCAAAAAAACCAGGAAGAATAAAGAAAAAATTTTAACTGGTTAATAGTTGAACTGATGGCAGCATTTGGAAAAAATGAGTTTGTTTTCTCAGTGGAAAAACTGAAGTGAATTTAAATAGCCATCTATATGTATAACAGATTCTTGAACTTAGTATAAGATTGTATCCTCATGATCTTTAATATTGCTTCCCAGGTACCACAAATAGGCCCCTTTTGGAGATAATAAGAGATTATATACACTGCTTTCTGCCCTCAAAGCTTACTATGTTGTAAGCTATACCCAGAAGTCTAATAAGAGCTTTTTAATTTTAATGAGCATGAGCTAACTTCATCTAAATAGCACCTCCTACAAAATTGTATTTGTACTTTTAATGTGATCATTCAAGCTCATGCAAAGTGAAAGGCTATTTTGAAATGGGGTACTACTGATGAACATTTTGAGAAAATTTTGTTTCTCAACAAACCTTTGTTTCAGGTTTAGATGTCTCACTTCACTAAAACTGTTTTCATTCTATGCACTATGAGAATGTGTGTGTGTGTATACACATGTAAAAATATGAAAGAAGTGCAAATGAGTGTGACAGACTGTCTGTTGTTAAATAGTTTTAGTTAATTTAAGTTCTTGTTTACACACTGCTTTGGTTTGAATGCGTACTGATGAGAGAAAAGTGGAAATTTAAACCTGAGGCTAAAAGTATTTTGGAATCATTTTTGCTGAAACATTCAGCCTTAGGCATGAGAAGACTCCAGAGAAGAGGATTTGAAAGGGTGCATTGAAAAATTTTGGAATTAAAATATCAGGGTAGATTGCTATTATAAAATAACCTGTGGAGGAAGCTGTTAAAGGTGATTTTTAAAATAAATACATTAATGATAAAATTTTTCATTTATTTATACAAAGAGGTGATATCTAGCTTATAAGACTGAACAAATACATGTTAATACTTTTCTAATCTTGTAGAAAACAGCAAATAAATATTGAAGTTAATTCATAATGTGATACTTGAAAATTGATTTCTCATGTCAATGGACCACTTTAATAATTTTATTTTTTGGTAATGATGTTTTAACCCCAATTGAGTTCTCTCTGAGTCACTGGTGAGTCACATGGTTAAATTTACATCTCAAATGGAATAGCACATTCTGTCCTGAAGTATATGAATTAATTGTGATCAGGGTGATTTGGACTTCAGTACGGTGCCAGTAACTATTGGCATAAACTTAGTGGCTCTTGTGAAATCATTTACACATCAAGTGATCTTTCAATACTAAATGTTTATAAATTTCACTATCAAGTTTTACTTTTTGCAAAATCTTGACCAATTTTCATCTATGTATATTGTGAAATATTCTGGTAAATCATGTCCAATGCTGGACTTTGGAAGACAAATTTGATTTACTTTCAGGAAATCTCTATCGCTTTATGGACCTTACTTCTCTCAACAAAGCTGAATAGTCATTCTCATGTGGAACAGGTATATTTTGAGGAGAGTTCTGTGCTAGGCATTGGGTCCAGTATTGAGTTTGAGTGTGCAATGGAGACCAAGATAGATTTATCCCTGCCCTTGTGAAACCTTCATTCTAGCGGAGACAGCCACTCTCTTAATACAAAACCCACTGAAAAGGCATTTTTGGTGTTTTCATAATTATTTTAAGCTTTCAATTTGGTCACCTAGAGAAATCGTTTGTATATCAGGAATAATAAATCATCCTAAATAACAGAAACTTGAGCTGACATTAGCAAGGTATCCCAGAAACTGTTGCTACTCCTCTCTTTTGTTCTGAAAAATCACTTTGCGGGGTGATGGTGGTGGTGGTGGTGGTGGTGGTGTTGTACTGGGCAATCGAACTCATGACCTTGTGCTTGCCAGACAGGTGCTTATGCTGCTGAGCTGAATCTCTAGCCCCAAATCACATATTTTTTAGTACTTTGTTTAGTATTTTGTATTTTTATAGTTTCATTTCTTTGAAATTTTAGTTTTTATTCTGTACTGAGGGGCTCATCTGTGTCAAGAAAGTACATTTATCCAGAGTTTTATCCCCAGTACTGGACACTGAACTCAAGACCTTTACACTAAGCTGCGCACTCCCTCTTCCTGGTCATCTTTAAAAATTCTTGAGACAGGGCCTTGCTACATTGCAAGGCTGGATTCAAATGTGCCCTCATAGGAGTATGTGACCTGGCCCAGCTTGTTAGTGTTCCTTAAGAAAGATTTACCTCTCAAGAATAAATCAACAGTATTTAGTTAGTTAGGATGGTGACTTCAGAGTGGAGATTTCACTTGAGAAACTGAATATTGAGCTGGTTTCAGAAGATGTCCTTGTTATTGGAGATTGACATATTACTAGAAATAACATAAATGAAGCAAAGCTGACTGAATTAACACTTTATCTGTCAGACTTTTTTGGTTGCAAATCCGTTGACCTTTTAGATTGTTACTGTTGAACAATGATTTGGTTTTTCTTATTATTACTGATGGTATGCAGT